CTTTTTCGTTTGTTCGTCCTTATCTCTCAATGTCACATTTGGCAATTTTTGACCAAGTAGTTCCACCCGGCTGCTGATGATACAAATATTTTTGCTATATCTGGTCAACTGGTTCCATCGATGAGCGTCATTCTCATTCCAGTCACAACCCCCCCACCCGGCCAGCTTCTCCTCTCAAAACATATTCACGCATGCACAAATTCCTTCTGTCATACAACAACCCTGCCCCCTTTCTCCCCTTTTACTGCCCAGTCTTCTTCCCGCCACCACCCACCCCCTTCTCCCCAGCCCTACTCCCAATCCCCTCGGCGATATCCTTCCAAACCCACCCCGCCCTGCAATTCTTCTCATTCCCCTCCTGGATGTTGAACCTCCCCACCGCCCTCCACCTCCACCACTTCCTCTTCTCGTTGACCGCCGTCGTATCCCGCGTGAAATTCACCATGCCGAAGCGCTCCCTTGTCGGCTTGAGATCAGACAGCATCATGGACGAGTGGCGGGGCGTCCCTGTCAGGCTGAGGGTGGTGATGTCGACCTGGGTGTTTGGCGGGGCTGTTTTGGCAAAACGCTGGAGGATGGGGGTCGACCAGCGGGCGTACGGCGGCAGGCGGAGGTGGATGAAGGTCACGAAGGGGGTGGTGAAGTAGCCGACGTAGAGGAGAGGGATGAGGCCGCAGGCGAGGGAGGCGAGGGGGTACTGGGGGGGGGCGCCGGATTTGATGTAGTGGGGGGTTAGGACTAGGCCGAAGCCGGCGAAGAGGAGGAGGGTTGCGAAGCGGAGGGTGCCGAGGAAGGTTGTTTCTTTGATAGGGGGGTTAGCTAAAAATGGGGATAGGATATAAGGTGGGGGAGGCGGGAGGGGGGGCTTACTGCCTGTGCCGGCGTGGTAGATCATTAGGCGTTCGGGGTATTCTGGTTGGGGGTGTTAGCTTTGATGTGTGTCAGTTGAAAGGTGATGAGGGAGATGACATACCGGTCTTTTCCTTTTTTCCGTGGCCTTGTTGCTGCTGTTGCTGTTGCTGTTGCTGTTGCTGCCCACCCTTGGCTTTTTCTGCTGCGGCGAGCAGGGCTTGCTCTTCGAGTGCTACGTTTTTGGTGGAGGTTTGAGAGTTGGGTCTGGATGCATAAGTTGCTCTTAGGATAAGTGAGGATTGATGACTCCCTAGTCTGAGGATTTCTGGTCTGGTTGTTGTTGTTGTTGTGGTTGTTGATGTGAGTGATGAGAGAGCTCGGGCGGTGGTAATAATATGAGGGTATGTTGACAGCTTGACACCTCCCCGCACCCCGTTGCTGAGCGGTGCTCGAGATAAGCCTCCAGTTAGTCTCAACTGAATTGTCATGGTTTAGAATTGGCTTGTGAAAGCAGAATCATGAGTGAACCTCTCAGAGGTAAGATGGGTAAGAATTTCCAGATTGGAGGTTTGAACGATTGATGAGTGGGTGAAACCAATCAAATTGCTGTTTGGGAGCTGTGGTGGAAAGTGGCCCAAGCTCCTTGGACGACACATCAACTCGGCGACCACCAAGGTATTTCAGAGATGTGAAAGGAAATCTCACGTTTGACGTCTGCCAATATTCAGGAGACGGCGCCGCCTTTTTCGCTTCACTGAAGAAAGAGAGTCGATGCGGGCCGAGTTATGAGACAACTGCTGATCAGCACGATGTCTCGCCCCCTTAACTGCTCACGGGACCTACAAGGTTCGAGATCTTTCATCTTCCCACAAAGCTCTCGCTCCTCACCATGATCGCCACTGGCACATTCCTCCAAGTTCTGACTCGGATTCAACAACAATGAGCAAGTGTCAAGATATCATCCTCTCCGCCGAGAATCTCATGGCGGCCGGAGGTTCTGAAATATTTCCAGCGGCCCCTGAAGTGTTCAGGATAAATGCCCTGAAAGCAAAGAGCGTAAAGGAACCTACCTTGTGTTTCCACGACAATCTTTTGCGATCTAGATGCCATAAAGACCCATTCAATCCCATCCCGAGATGAGAAGTTGAAGTTAGGTTTAGAGGTAGGCAGATAGCTACCGACATCTTGATCTCATCAAGTCTCAACTTAACTTCTAACACCTGTCCACGATACTAATAACTCAGTCCTCATTGAGACTTCATCAAGATGTTTGTATGTCCTTCTACCACCGCTCCGCTCTTCGCTTATTTTTCCTGACCCAAGAAACTCGGCAGTTCTACCTCCTTGCCTTTGTGACGACCGCCTTGTTGGTACTGGAAATCGTCAAATCAGGCAACTCGTCACCGCAATCCAAGCCGGATCACCAGAACGAATTCACGACTACCTCTACTTGGAAACTCGAATGCTCGCCTTTTTCGGTTCCTGGGCGTGCTCGGAACGCCGCCCTGTGGTGTACATCGCAGCGCTTTTATTGTGATGTGGATGGAGAAACGAGATACAAGTACGCTCGGGGTCACGAATTTGATGAACGGTGCGTCAGCATGTGTCAATGCAGAAGGAATGTTGTCCCCGGAGTCGACCCCCTGTTTGACACAGAGAGGCCGGTGCGCCGTATTTAGAAAGACTAAACTTGGGGGGGAAGGGGTAGTTGTGGTTATTGTTGGAGATAATAATGGGTTTGGATTGGCCGATATGATCATGATAATGGATTTGATCTCCATCCAATTGTAGTCTTTGACTTGCACTCCCGCTTGATCAAGTGACGGTTGAGGTGGGTTCTTTCTTCTGAGGCGTACCAGTAGTAATTCAAAATGGATATCATCAGCATCGCCGATATCTGCACTTCCCCATCGAATTGCCTGGGCGGACCCAAGAAATCCAAGACACTTCGGAATCATTTCTTAGCCTTCGGGTCCAACCTGAAGCAAACTGGCGATCTTCGGAACATAGTTACCGGACTGCAAGACATTGTCATCTCCGGCGAGTTCTTCAAACCTTCTTTGAAGATAAGCCACCGAGGAGAACCACAATGCGGGCCGAAACTACAAGACAGATCAACAACTAATCACCGTATCCGCAACAGGGGGTCTCAACATCGTTATGTTCATCCGAAAACGAGTCCAGTTATTCGTTTAGCTCTACAACTATAAAGGGACCGCATAGACACTCAAATTCAGACTGAACTTTTGGACCCTGCAAGCTCTTCAGTCGACAATATCAGTTCACCACAAAATCCATCTAATCACAACCTGCCTAGCTTGCTTTCTCTTGCCCTCTCGCCCAAGTCCAGCACAATGAAGGTGTGTCCCTCGATAGGTAACAACTGCCAATATCCACTTTCTGATCTAGCATGCCTATCCAGTTCTCCCTCCTCACCGTCCTCGCTATGGGCACCGCATTTCACCAGGCCCTTGCCTCGCCCGTTATGTCCGATTCAGCACCGGCCAAACGACAAGACCTTGTCACCCCGTTCGTGATCGAATGCTCACCGGGGACTGTCCCTGGTGGTGGGGACCCCAACGTCTTCTGCTCACGCAATGGGATCTCCTGCACTCTGGATGGAGAGCTGGAATGGACACCTACTACGACGGATCAAGCCCCTGAGCAAGTCTGCTTCGATATCTGCTATTGCCGCGTCAACGTCATTCTCGACCCGCCTGCCGGTGGTATTTAGGGGCTGATTAGAGGAATATGGCGCTTTGAAGCTGCTGTGGTGCTGAGGGGGTGGTGGTTTTGATGAAGGAGAGGTTGATGTGGGAATAATAAGGATGTTTCTGCTTTGATGGTGTGTAATAGTGGCTTGCGTTTCTTGCGGCATTTGAAGCCTAATCGGTTGATTTGGTGGCTTCTCTTATCAGCTTAGTAGCTTAGGAATCTATGTGCGTTTTGTTACTAATTCATAATCTGCTTTGTCTGATACTACAGCACTGCATATTGGACCGTAAATTTCTGTCCAAGGTGAGAGTTATCATCGAGTTAGGGCACCCTTAAACGTTATATTCTTCCATTATGTCTCGCCTGTCCTTCTCAAGTCAAAATCTTCCGTGGGTTGAAACAATCAGAATGCAAAGCAGCATCATCTTCAAACCTTCTTAGTGGGTTACCTGCCTAACGAGAGGTGATACGGACCGAAATATAACACAGCACCAAGCCAAACAACTTTCCCGCACCGCTTGGTTACCTTATCCTGAATCCCATACAATTACGGTATAATGAGAATCTCGCAATCTCCACACTGGCGATGAGGACGGTTTCTACATGACTCCCGCGTAGCAAGCTATCTTGAACACACCGATGAACTGAGACAAGGCTTGGTGCTGTCCATCTAGCGCGTGATTGTCACTTGAAGGTCCGCAACGAGATTCAAAGAGACATGATGAACAAACCACAGCTGTGTTAATCAACAGACTCAAACCAAAGAGCCTATCAAAGACACCAACGTCATAGACATCAGAGGGGATAACCGCCACAGGGGAGTATACCTCTTTCTCTGGCAGAGCCAGCCTACAAGGCAGCATTTTTCTCCCCTACTCTCTCCCAAGCCATGTAGCTCAACTTCTCAACACAGCTTCCAGTTTCCCGCTGGGTCGGTGCTCACAAAGTGTCAGACCGTGTACCAGCTGGTATGCAACGATGCGGTCTTGAGCACCGCCCAAGCCACCCAGCTTTGCAGACAGCTGGGCTGGACGTGCGATGAGGACGGGTCAATGGTGAAGGAGAAGGATCCAAACACATCAACAGGAGACCTTTGCAGATTTTGTGAATGCCTGTCGTCCTACGGTATCAGCCTGGTATGTTGTGGGCTTGAATAAGAGAATAGGAAGGGTGGTGCTGGATATCTGTGGTCTAATGACGACGAGGAAACTGTGGCTAGATGTGTGGGAAGTGGCGCTGGGAGAATACGAGAATGCCCATATCGCGTGTATCCGGATCGCTTGTGGCTTCTCATCCGTTTGGAACGGAATAAAAGACTCCCTATTGGCATTCTCACCTACACTGGACAAATCACGGCCCATTTGAAAATCAGACCGCGAACAGTTTAAACCCTCCCGCTATCAGCCGGAAGCCATGGCATCAGCCCAACACCCATTGCTTCCGGCAGAGTCTCGTCGATAGATACCCCGAAACAGAAGGAATGTACACACTAGGTAAGGTAGCCAACACGGCTGGAATGAAGACGGGTTCATCAAAAACCCTGACATCACCGCCCCGATCTGCCGGAACATAAAAAGGGTCCCAAGACAGTTTCGGTCTCACTTAACCCTCTTCGGACAACCCACCCACCAACCCAAGAAATCTCCCAAGTCCACCGCCCAAAAATGAAGAAGGTAAATCACCCCTTCTTCCAGCCATCCCCTTCCACTAACAAAAACCATCCAGTTCACCCTCCTCACCCTCCTGGCCCTGGCCCTGGCCCAACGGCATGCCCTCGCCTCGCCCCTCGTCTCCCTCCGTCAAGACCTTGTCGTCCGGTCCTTGCGGTGCGACTTTGGCACCGCCTCCATCCAGGCCGACACGGCAAAGTGCACAGCCAAAGGCGTCTTTCTGCAAAGAAAGCATCGGCGTGGTGATCACCGCCGGCACTGCCGCGGCTTACACCTGCCTGCAGCAGTGCAGCTGCGTGTAGCGAACCCACAACTAGCTACCTAGCCTCTTGGAGGACATGCTGTCAGGCGTTTGGGATAATGCATGTGCCCGATGATAGGCTCTTAATAATAATACAGCACTATATCATCCCGCCGTTATCCCCTTGGTGATGTTTACACCCCCCCCCCTTTTGTTCTGCTCTCCCGGCGAGATGAAGACAAAAAAAAGATTTATTTGCAAAAACCAGCCCCATCATGTCTAGATAGCTTACCATATGAGACTCTTCCATATTCAGACAGAAACAAATGACATGTCTTCCAGTTCTTTATAAACACTGTCCCCACCAGACAAGAAGAATCTTTCTTGGAATTACTGTCGATTAGCCCCTAAGGTCAAAAACCCTTACACCTACCCAAACCAACCCCCCCTACTCACTCTCCACCCCCTCCTCCCCCCCAGCATCCCTACTTTTCCTAAACCTCTCCCTCCCCGTCGCAAAAAACGCCTCCACCGTCCTCCCATCAAACTTCCTCCCGTGCATCTTGCTCAGACACTTCTCCGCCGCCTCCCGACTCCCAAACTTGACCATCACGATCCCCTCCTCCTCCTGATCATACAAAATAACATTGTTCACCTTCCCCAACGTCTCACACTCCTCCCTGATATCATCCTTGATGTCCAACAGCGCAGCCGGATCCTCCTCCAGCTCCTCCAGCGTAAACATGTGCCTCAAAATGACAACCTTGTCCCACTTCCCCCCTCCCCCACCCACCTTTTCCTCCTCCTCATCCGACCAATCCGCCAACTTGGCCGATAACTTCTGCGTCTTCCTAATAATCTTTTGCTTATCCTGACTGGCCTTCTTGTTGTTGTTAATAACCCCCCCCCGGTTTTAACCCCCCCCCCCAAACT